TATTCTAGCACTAAGCTATAATAATCATAATAGGCAGCACTAACTGAATCCAAAGGATGCGTTGCTTAACATTCCTCCGCAATCTTAACCTGTGCTAAGGTTTAGATTGGAACGTAATCGAGTAAGCATAACCTTAGTGAGAGGCTTGGTGAATGCATCAGCTACTTGATCTGCTGAAGAAATAAATTTGACCTCCAAAGCACCCATGGCTACCTTCTCTCTCACAAAATGAAAATCAACTTCGATGTGTTTCGTGCGGGCATGAAACACCGGGTTCGCCGTGAGATATGTTGCGCCGAGGTTGTCACACCACAAGACGGGCGCACGAGGCTGAGGAACACGTAGTTCCTTTATGATTGTATCCAGGTTGCTTCAGCCGTACCATTTGCCAAAGCTTTGTATTCCGCTTCTGTCGATGATCTAGACACGGTCGGCTGCTTGCGTGCACTCCATGAAATAAGATTCGGACCGAAGAAAATTGCGAACCCGCCAGTAGAACGCCTATCATCGCTATAGCCAGCCCAATCCACATCCGTGAACACACTATAGAGTTGAAGGCGAGCGCCGAATATTTAAGCCGGTCGACACCGTCCCTTTCACAAACCGAAGTATTTTCTTCACTGCTTCCCAATGAATATCAGTCGGACAGGACAAGTACTGGCACACCTTATTAACGGCGAATGAGAGATCAGGCCGTGTTAAGGTCAAGTATTGGAGAGCGCCAACTGTGCTTCTGTAACGAAAAGCTTCATCTTCGGACAGTCGATGACCAGATTCCCGACTAAGCTTCTCATGAGTGCACATCGGTGTTGAGACTGGTTTGCAATTCGCCATGTCTGTACGCTGTAAAAGATCAAGAGCATACTTCTTCTGATTAAGAGTGATTCCCCCGGAATTGCGAAGCACCTCAATGCCTAAAAAATAATTAAGAAAGCCAAGATCTTTCACAGGAAATGTGACGGAGAGGTGCTGAAGAAGTCGTGTCATGGCCGATGATGAAGAACTCACAATGACTATATTATCAACAAAAACCAGCATGTATATGGTGACACCACCGCGTGCAAAAATGAACAAAGATGTGTCAGCTGCTGAAGGATAGAAACCCAGCTGCTGAAGATGTTCACTCAGTCGGGCGTACCAGGCACGAGGGGACTGTTTCAGGCCATATAAAGCTTTATGCAACTTGCACACATAATCTGGACGCGAGGGATCCTGGAAGCCGGGTGGCTGCTGCATATAAGCTTCTTCAGTGAGAATACCATGCAGGAATGCATTGCTAATGTCAACCTGACGAAGCTGCCATCCATGGGAAACTGCAAGAGAGAGCACGAGTCGCACGGTTGCAGGCTTAACCACAGGTGAGAAGGTGTCGGAGTAGTCAATTCCGTACTGCTGTGTGAAGCCGCGTGCGACTAGACGAGCTTTGAACTTGTCGAGAGAACCATCAGACTTGTGCTTCACCTTGAAAAACCATTTGCATCCAATAACATTTTTTCCGGACGGCCGTGGAACTAAAGTCCATGTCTTGTTCTGCTGAAGAGCGGAGAACTCGGCCTCCATGGCGGGGCGCCATTGTTCATCCTGGAGTGCGTCGCGGTACGTGCGTGGCTCAGCATGAAAGGCCCAACGCCGAGGATCATAACGCACGGTGCCATCCGTGGGTACCAGCGTCTTCATGACGTTATTTCGGAGACGCGTTATCATCGGATGTGAAGTGCCTGTGGCAGGAGCAGCTGGCGGACGCTGCTCCAGAGTTGGAGCAGCAGGAGGCTCCTGTTCGCTCGGCGAAGTCGGAGACGCTAGGGACGCCGCGCCAGGAGAGCTCGTGTCTGGGCCAGGCGAGGTGCAAGACTCGGTTGTAGACGAGGCTGGAGTCTGCGACCCGCTCGGAAGGACGGGGGACGTCGGAGCTGGCCCGTCTGCATGGCGACGATGCGGCGTGCATGGCGACATAGAGCCAGAGGACGTCGAGTCGCTGGAACCTGCATGCACATCAGAAGGACTTGACGACGCATTAGAAAGTAAGGTTAAATCATATCTCTGCATGCGATCATCCACTACGGCCGGCTCGGCTACAGGAAAAACTGAAGGAGGTGTAGGAAGAATGGGTGTGGTGGTGGGAGTAGTGGAAGATGCGGCTGCAAAAGGAAAAAATTCTTCATCAAAAACAACGTCACAGGAAATATAAATACGGCCAGTTGATCGATCAAGGCACTTGTAGCCTTTGTGTATAGAGCTATAGCCCAAGAATACGCACTGTCGGGAACGAAAATCGAGTTTACGATTATTGTATGGGCGGAGGTTCGGCCAGCATATGCACATCCAAAGGCACGGAGAAAAGTATAATCTGGTTTCTCGTTAAGAAGACACGTGAGTGGCGCGGTGTTTTGAAGAACACGAGTTGGCATGCGATTAATTAAATAGCAAGCGGTAATGAAGGCTTCGTCCCAAAAACGGATTGGGAGAGAGGAATGAGCGAGGAGTGTGATGCCGGTTTCAACGATATGGCGATGCTTGCGTTCAGCGATGCCATTTTGTTGTGAGGTGTGTGGGCAGGATACACGATGAGTAATGCCTTCCCGCTGAAAATATCTAGATAGGCGATGGTACTCCCCACCCCAATCAGACTGGACAGTTTTGATTTTGGTATTAAGCAAGCGCTCAACATGTTTTTGGAAGGTGTAAAATGCTTGCTCGACATCGGATTTTCTCATGAGAAGGTAAATCCATGTGAAACGACTAAAGTCATCCAAAAAACTCACATAATATTTGAAGCCTCCAACAGAGGTAATAGCAGGTCCCCAAACATCAGAATGAATAATTTCAAGCGGAGCATGAGTAACATGACTCGAATCTCGAAAAGGTAATTGATGGACCTTAACTCGTTGGCAAGCATCACAAACATTATTAGACTCGATCGAAGGTGCACAAGCAAATTTATTTGACCTAAGAACTGACTCAATGACACTTTTGGATGGGTGGCCTAATCTTCGATGCCAAAGATCCGAGGAGAGCTTGACACCGGAGAAGGCGCGATGACCAGACACGATAGGTGAGGACTTGAAGCTTGGCACCGGATAAAGACCTTCACGACATCTACCGTGAAGAAGAACCTTCCTTGTTGCTCGGTCCTTTAGATAAAACAAGTGAGGATGAAATTCAGCGAAAGCATCATTGTCAGAGACTAACTTGTGCATGGATAGCAAGTGTTTGTTTACACGGGGAACATGCAAAATGTTGCGAAGATAAAGAGGTTTGAACGAGCCGGAAATAGTGGAGTGACCAACATGTGAGATAGACAAACCTGCCCCATTGGCGACGTGCACCTTTTCCTTGCCACCGTAGCGCTCATGGACGGTTAGGCGGTCGAGATCGTTCGTCAGGTGGTCGGTGGCACCAGTGTCCGCGTACCATTCCATGTCCACGGAGTAGGAGCCGGTGTTGGCGATGTTGCCGGAGCGCTCGCGGTGCTCCTTCGGCTGGTACGCGTGGTTGAAGCGATTGCGACAGTGAAGCGCGTCATGGCCGAACTTGCCACACACCTGACACTTCAGGTTGGAGCGCCCATTGCCGCGACCCCGCCCGCCACGACCACGAGCTTGTCCGCCTTGCCCGCCAGGTGCACCCCTGCCACGTGCTGCAGCGTTGGCAGAGGGATGGATCTCTCCAGTTGAGTTCTGCTGCTCAAGACGAATTTTAGCGCTGAGAAGAAATGCATAAAAGCTGCTGAGGCTCACGGGGTCATCATGTGTCGTGATCGACGCAACAAGAGGCTCGAACTCGGAGCCCAGCCCAGCGAGCATGTACCCAAGCACCTCGTCATCAGATAGGGGCTTGCCGATGGAGGCCATGGCATCAGCGAACCCCTTCATCTTGCGATAGTATTCCGACGCAGAGAGGTCGTTCTTCTTCAGATTAGAGAGCTGGTATCTTAGTTGCATAACACGAGCTCGATTTTGTGAAGCAAACATGTCATGGAGAGCAGTCCAAACTGCAGCAGAGGTCATCAACTGTGTCATCTGACCAAGAATATCCTCAGTCATGGATCCTAGGAGAGCAATCATCACGAGCTGGTCTTGCTGGTACCAGTGAAGGAACTCCGGGTTGGCCACCTCGACGGCTGCCTCACCGGTTCCTTGCATGATGGTGTGCGGTGGTGCTTCCACGGTGCCGGCGACATAGCCGTACAGGCCGTTTGCGGCAAGGGCAGGAACGGCCTGGGTCTTCCATAGCAGGAAGTTATCCCGCGTGAGACGGATCGTGATGAGGTTGGCGAGTGACGTGACAGAGATCGGAGCTGAAGAGCTGGAGCCGGCAGCGGCGGTGCCGGCCATGGGGATAGGATCTTTTTGCTCTGTATACCAAGTCAGCTAGATGGAAATGCCGTGATGGCTTACACTAGTATTGCTCAGTTTATATACATCAAGTACAGGTTCAGTTACAGCTCAAGCGATGGTGGATAATTAAGAGAAAGGTCTCTAGACCTTCCACATTCTAGCACTAAGCTATAATGATCATAATAGGCAGCACTAATTGAATCCAAAGGATGCGTTGCTTAACAAGCGCCGCCACAACACGGTCTGCCTGGCACTACCCGACGACACCTGCGAGGGGCACAAGCTTAGGATCAACAAGGTGGCCCGCTCCAACCTGCGCGTGTGCATCACCGACGTCGTGTCTGTGCACCTGTGCCACGACGCCAAGTTTGGCAGATGCGTGCACATCCTTCCTCTTGACGACACGGTTGAGGGCATCGCGGGGAACCTCTTCGACGCCTACCTCAAGCCCTACTTCGTGGAAGCCTACCGCCCGCTTCACAAGGGTGACCTCTTCTTGGTGCGTGGCGGCATGCGGAGCGTCGAGTTCAAGGTCATGGAGATCGACCCCGCGATGGAGTACTGCATCGTGGCGCCTGACACGGAGATCTTCTGCGAGGGCGAGCCGGTAAAACGGGAGGACGAGGAGAGGCTTGACGACATCGGCTACGACGACGTGGTGGCATGGGGAAACCGCTAACTCTGATCAGGGAGCTCGTCGAGCTGCCACTCAGGCATCCACAGATCTTCAAGACCATTAGCGTCAAGCCTCCCAAGGGCATCCTCCTCTACGGCCCTCCCGGGTCGGGCAAGACGTTGATCGCCCGCGCGGTGGCGAACGAGACGGGGGCCTTCTTCTTCCTTATCAACGGCCCGGAGATAATGTCCAAGATGGCTGGAGAGAGCGAGAGTAACCTGAGGAAGGCCTTTGAGGAGGCCGAGAAGAACGCGCCCTCCATCATCTTCATCGACGAGATCGACTCCATTTCCCCTAATAGGGAGAAGACTCACAGTGAGGTCGAGAGGCGCATCGTCTCCCAGCTACTGACTCTGATGGACGGCATGAAGGTCCACGCGCATGTCATCGTCATGGGCGCCACGAACCGTCCCAACAGCATCGACCCTGCCTTGAGGCGCTTCGGAAGGTTTGATCGCGAGATCGACATCGGCATGCCGGACGAGGTCGGGCGTCTCGAAGTGCTCCGCATCCACACCAAAAACATGAAGCTGGACTTGGATGTCAACCTAGAGGTGATTGCCAAGGATACACACGGCTACGTCGGCGCCGACTTGGCCGCGCTCTACACTGAGGCGGCGCTACAGTGCATCAGGGAGAAGATGGACGTCATCGACTTAGAGGACGACACCATCGACGCCGAGATCTTGAACTCCATGGCCGTCACCAATGACCACCTTAAGACGGCTCTCGTCGGCACGAACCCATCTGCGCTACGTGAGACCGTCGTCGAGGTGCCCAACGTCAGCTGGACCGATATCGGCGGCCTCAACGGCGTCAAGAGGGAGCTGCAAGAGACCGTCCAGTACCCGGTTGAGCACCCAAAGAAATTCGAGAAGTTTGGCATGTCGACGTCCAAGGGTGTCCTCTTCTACGGGCCACCAGGCTGCGGCAAGACCTTGCTGGCGAAGGCGATCGCCAACGAGTGCCAGGCCAACTTCATCAGCATCAAGGGGCCAGAGCTGCTCACCATGTGGTTCGGTGAGAGCGAGGCCAACGTGCGTGAGATCTTCGACAAGGCGCATCAGTCCGTGCCGTGCGTGCTGTTCTTCGACGAGCTCGACTCCATTGCAACTCAAAGGGGCGGCAGAGTGGGCGACGCCGGCGGCGCGGCAGACAGGGTCCTGAACCAGCTGCTCACTGAGATGGACGACATGAATGCCAAAAAGACGGTCTTCATCATCGGCGCCACCAATAGGCCGGACATTATTGACTCGGCGTTGCTCCGTCCTGGCCGCCTAGACCAGCTCATCTATATCCCCTTACCAGACGAGGCCTCGCGGCATCAGATCTTCAAGGCATGCCTCAGGAAGTCTCCCGTGGCCAAGGACGTCGACCTCGGTGCGCTCGCAAGGTTCACTTCCGGCTTCAGTGGCGCCGACATCACGGAGATCTGCCAGAGGGCGTGCAAATTCGCCATCAGGGAGGACATTGAAAAGGACATGGAGAGGCAGAGGATGGGAAAAGACACCATGGAGGTGGACGGCGGGCAGGAAGAGGAGGAGGTGGCTGAAATAAAGGCGGCTCACTTCGAGGAGTCGATGAAGTACGCGAGGCGGAGCGAGAGCGACACCGACATCAGAAAGTACCAGTCGTTCGCGCAGACGCTGCAGCAGTCTAGGGGGTTCAGCACCGAGTTTCGCTTCCCGGCGCAGCCACAGGCAGCAGAAGCTGCTGTCCACACCTCCGCGGCAGCTGATGAGGATGAAGACGATCTGTACAAGTGATCCAATAACCATTGTTAGAACATGAAGTAGGAGTACCAGAATATTATAGACTATGTTTTTGTTCTGTTTTCTCTCATCGATCATGTATATTGTTGATTCTTTCCATGTATATAATTTTCGTTTGTAAGAATTTTACATACATCATAGAAATACAGTTGATGAAACAATAAGCTCCTTGTTGTGCTTACCTAGACTCTGAAAACTAGCCTAAGCGTTAACTGAATTGTCGATTAGACGGAACCGAAATAATAAGCTTCTTGTTGTACTTTCCTAGATTCTGGAAACTAGCCTAAGCGTTAACTGAAGTAATAAGCTCCTTGTTGTAGTTTGTACTACCACCGTTCTCTGACAACCCCTCTCTGCTCCTGCACAACACCACTGGAAACAAAAAGGAAAATTTCAAGTCAATTTCTCCTTGTTTTCCTTCTTGAATTCCAGTCAGAAAATCAATGAAATAGGATTTGGATCAGAAAATCAGGAGAAGAAAAGCAACCGAATCATAGATCCTGTTTTGGCTAACCCTCAATTACCAATAGTTGCTCCGGTTAATTTCGGATTGAACTTGTAAGAGAGCACCTGTTGTCTGAAACTTATGGCTCTCAACAGTCTTAGTTGCAGAGAGTTCTTTGTTAGCCAACAATGAGTTTGATCTATACTACCCTTATCCAGAGGCCAATTGTTGTACCCAACTGAATGTTATTCAGCCCGGCCTTTCACAGTATGCTCTTCCTGTTGTGAGTTCTGGTTGGGGGAGCTTGCTTGGTGCTCATGATCACAGTGTCCACCATCAACGGCCGGGCTGGGCATACTGCTTGGTGCTCATGATCACATTCACAGAATGCACTTACGGTTTGCAACAAGAGAAAGAAAGAAGGGAAGTTTCTTTAGGGTTTAACTACTCATAAGTTCCTCTAGGTTTCGAAGAGTTAAATTACTTTCATAAGTTCCTCTTTAAGGTTTCAAAAACTTATAAGTTGCTGGTTGGAGTGGCCACTGTCATTCCTGCCATTAAATGGCTATGGAATTTTTTCTCGAATACGCACGAGAATGGCTATGGAATTCCCGCTGCCAGCTCAAGTAGATCTTTTTTTTGGCTGATAATCCAAAATAGATTGAATACCAATGCACTCCTGCAGAGGAAAAATTTCTTTGTTGCAGACTGCACTTGTGTTCTATGTGTCTTGCGAGTTCTGGAAACAAAGATCCCTTTTTTGTCCCATGTGAATTTGGACACCGATGCACTGTGACATTGAGGAACAGATTAATCAACTTAAAGCATACTTTATCATGCAATTCTTCCTTGAGCTGATCACTTTAATTTCCTGGGGTATTTGGAACAGTACAAATGATTTCATTTTTAAAGGCATTCAGCCAAATTTGTATGCCTTCCAGAGGAACTTATTTTTAGTTCTGGATACATTTGTCATGGCTTCAGCAGAAATTTGTATGCCTGCGCACGGCGCTCAGCGGTGGACTCGGCCGGCTGGACGCGTTTGAATGGTCGCTCGCACGCCGACGGCTTGGCGGTTGCCCACGGCTGGCCTGCATCCCGCGCCGCCACCGCTTTGCGTGCGCCGCCGTCCGTACATGGGTCTGCGAGATGCATGGCTGCATGGCCCAAAGAGGCTGGGCCCTACCCCCCTCGTCGCAGAGCCAAAAGAGGAAAGCGGGGAAGAAAGCAAAAGCGTGCAAGGGTTCTGGCCGCGCTCACAAAAGCTACGGCTGTGGCGGATCCGAGGCCGGCCGCGCCACCCGCCCAAGCGCTCGTGGTGCCTACCTCGCCAGCTGGCCCCACCGCATTGGTGCCAATCTGCGCTCCTCCTGCTGTCGGGCCCGCGCTGAGCCTGTCTCGCGTGTCACCATGCGCGCAGGGGGACAACCCAACCAGGGAAGGGCCACCAACGACTGGTCCATGCGCGCTTGGGGATCAGGACGGCCTGTCCTCCACCAGTGAGGTCCCAGATCCCCTTCCTGCGGAGCGCCCAATTGCCCCCGAGGATGATCCGCTGTCGGGGCAAAGCGGGGCTTCACCCTCGTCAGCTCCTGTTGCTGTTGCGGGCCCGCTGACCTGCGACCCAGCCCCACTTGCGCACTGCGGGAGAGCGCGCGGGAACCTCGAACCGCCGTGCTTCCAACTCCTGCTGCCCCCAACGACAGGCCCGAGCTGGGCCGCGCCCCCTCTTCGGCCCAGTCACCCCGGCGCATTCTGCAGCGGCCCCAGCCCATGGCTGGTGGCATTGATGGGCTCACCCCTCCCTCCAGGCCCACCATCGTCAACCCACCCAGGCCCTTCTTCGCCCGCTCCGGCCCCTGCACCCCACGCGATCCAGTTCGGCAGCGCCTCACGCTTTGCTTCGCCGCCTGTTACCCTGCGTCGATCTCGCCAGCGCGCCAGCTCCATCAGCTCCTGGACCCTGGGAGACTTCCTCGCCGCCACCACCAAGCAAACATGTCCAGCCCTTCCCAACCCTGGACGCAAACGGCGACGGCAGCCCCTGAACTTCTCGCCACGGCGTGGTCGCTCTGCCTCCATCGCAAAGGCAAAAACGGCCGCCCCGCCCACCGCTGAGCGCCGTGCGCAGGTCCAGCTCCTTCGTACCTTGGGCATCATCGGCATTGACCAGGTGATCTCTGCTGAAGCCATGAAGGCCTAGGAGGGAGTTTTCGCCGCGCCTCTCCCGCACACCGTCCTGGAGGCCATCGCCGCGCTAATCGGCCGCGAGCTGCCCTCTGATCCTTCTACGGCGCCTATCACCACGGTGATTGCTGGAAGCCCGATTGCAACATAGCCGCACTGCTGCGTGCCCATCCGTCGACTTCTGTTCAATGGATCACGGCCTCCGCATCATCAACTGGAACGTCCGCGGCTTAAACTCTCGCGCAAGGCGCACCGCCATCCGCTCGCTTACTGGAACCTCCAGCGCTTCGATCGCTTGCTTCCAGGAAACTAAGATGGAGTTCATCTACTCGTCGACTGTCCTCGAGACGTTGGGCTCCGAGTTTGATAAGTACGTTTACCTCCCTGTGATCGGCACTTGTGGTGGGATTCTGTTGGCTTGGAAGAGCCGGGCCGTGTCCATCACGAACCCCATGTTCACCACCAGCACTCTCTCGGCCCGGGTCGCGACCACCGATGGCTTCAGCGTGCCCTGGTGGTTAACCATTGTCTACGGACCCCAAGATGACCCGGGAAAGATCACATTCCTCCACAAAATCCACGATGTGCGTGCTACGTGCCCCGGGCCTTGGCTTATCTGCGGCGACTTCAATCTCATCTATCGGGATGAAGACAAGAACAACGGCAACCTCAACCGACGTATGATGGGTCGTTTCCGGCGTGTTCTCAACGACCTCGCGCTCAAGGAGATTTATCTCAACGGCCGGCGCTATACTTGGTCCAATGAGCAGAACCCGCCTACCCTGGTCCATCTTGATCGGGTGATGTGCTCCGCGGACTGGGAGGAAATGCATGGTGAGTATCACTTGCGTTGTCTGGCCACGGTCGTCTCTGACCACGCCCCCCTCTTGCTGGACTGCTCGCCCATGCACCCGATGCATCGACGCTTCCGCTTCGAGGAGTTCTGGACGCGCCTCGCGGGCTTCCAGGAGATTGTCGCCAGCGCATGGAACTCGGTGGAGGACGCTGATCCTTTTCAGTGCTTCATGCAACGCATGCAGGCCACCGCGCGCAAACTCACAAGCTGGAGCGCGCGCTCGGTTGGCAACGTGCGTGACCAGCTCGTGATCTCCCATGAGCTGCTCCTACGCTTTTACTCTGCGCTCGAACATAGGCCGCTGTCGCCGCATGAGGACTGGTTGCGTCGCCAGCTCAAGCTCTCCTACCTGGGCCTCGCCTCCCTTGAGCGAACCATCGCCCGCCAGCGCGCGCACATCGCGTCCCTTAAAGATGGTGACGCGAACACTTCGTTCTTCCATCGCCAGTGCTCCTTCCGCAAGCAGAAGAACTGGATCCATTCCCTTTCGGTCGATGGTGCAGTCCTCACCGACCCCTGCGACATGGCCGCGGCGACCTTTGCGCACTTCGATGCTCTGATTGGGACTGACGTGCCACGGGACTGCACCATCGACCTTTCGCAGCTCATCGTGCCATCTTGCCTGGATGATCTTGACGCGCCCTTCAGCGAGGATGAGGTCTGGCAGGCCATCAAGCGCTTGTCGTCGTGCAAAGCGCCTGGCCCCGACGGATTCACAGCGGAATTCCTCCGTTCTTACTGGCCCATCATCAAGCAGGACCTCTTGAAGATCTTCGAGCAAGTGTACGCGCTCCGCGGCCGCGGTTTCAGCTGCCTCAACCAGGCGCTTATCACTCTTCTTCCCAAGCGCGCGGATGCGAGCAACCTTGGGGACTACAGACCCATAAGTTTGATTCATCTTGTCGCCAAGGTCCTCGCCAAGCTGCTGTCACTCCGCCTCGCGCCCAAGCTCAATAGCCTCGTCAGCAAAGTCCAGAATGCCTTCGTCCCTGGCCGAAGCCTTCACGACAACTTCACCCTGGTGCGTCAATCCGCGCAGCTTCTGCACCAGCTTGGCGCCCCACGCGTGCTTCTGAAGCTTGGCCTGGCGCGCGCCTTCGACTCCATCTCCTAGCCGTTCCTGTTCGATGTTCTACGTTGCCACGGCTTCGGCGATCGCTTCCTCGACTGGATCGCCCTCTTCTGTCGTCGGCCAGCACTAAAATCCTCCTCAACGGCGCCCCTGGACCTCCGATCTGGCATAGGTGTGGGCTGCGTCAAGGCGACCCCGTGTCCCCACAGCTCTTCGTCTTGGCTGTTGACACGTTGGGGAGGCTCTTCTACCACACCATCGAGCTCCGAGTCTTGCAACCACTCCATCCCCGCCGCGCCATACCGCCCATCTCCCTGTACGCGGATGATGTGATCCTCTTTTGCCACCCCACGCCACGCGACATCACGGCGGTAAAGGAGATCTTGCACCTTTTTGGGCGCGCATCGGGGTTCCAGGTCAACTATCAGAAGAGT